TACTTGGTCAGTGATCCAATAAACGGGTCGACCCCATTAGAAAGTCCGTATGTGCTTGTAAATGGGTCAAGCTCGCTTAGCTATAAGTAGCGCTGACACCGTTATCTCACTGATATTCATCCATGATGCGACTCTTAGTTCTTCTATCGATAGTCTTTTGTACAGTTGTAGCGCAATATTATCCCTATGGTGGATACGGTGGTTATGGCGGATATGGAGGATATCGGGGAGGATATCCTGGCTATGGTGGATATTACAGGTAATGTTATTACTCTCAATAAATAATTTCTTCCCGCTGTGTGATGCCAATTTTGAAATCAAGGCTAAAAATCTAGCAGAATCGTTAAAAATTCCAAATGTCAAATTTAGAAAAACTTACGATTTGGATAACTTTCGCTCAAATTCTTGAATTTGCTTAGAAAATATTTTTAATATTTTGAACATTTTTCTTTCAGTCACACCAAGTCCCACTAGGCTAGCCTCAAACAATATTATGAAAAGTTTTATTGTCAGTCTAAATAGTAGAGCAAACCAAGTGTGGGAATGCGGACCGCACGCAGTTTCACACGACTAGCTATTAATAAATATACAATCCAAACAATCCAAAATAATCCAAATCCAAAACCCAAAAAAATCCATAAATAAAGTAACAATGATTGTCGTCGCTTGGTTTGTACCTCTTCGCTCCATAAGGAGGGACACAAAGCAAATTTTTGAATTTAGCAACTTGCAGGCAGGCTAGTCGTCGATTAACGCGCATTTCGTGCATTGCGCATATCACCGCACGAAGAATTCGATTTTAATCAAACTGAAATCATTGTACTAAATGAATCATCTTAGCCTCACTTGAATAGTCAGTTTAAAGTTGAATTCTCTTTTACAGACGTCCGTGGGGCGGCTACGGTGGGTATGGTCGACCATATGGTTACGGAGGATACGGTGGATACCCTGGATACGGATATGGTGGATATGGAAGTAAGTTTGCAGTTTAGAACAAAGTATCTTGAATACAACAAAAATCACATTAGCATCAAATGGCTCATTTTTGGATGTCTTAATCTCAGAACTTCTAGAAAAAAAGAAATCATCAACCGTTGAATGGAAGTATAACCGCTGACGTGTAGATAATGTTAAAACTAGAGTAGTTGTT